CGATGGACGACTTCATTCCTCACACATCGGAAGGTACAAGTGCGTTTCTCCGGTGGAGTCACCACACAGAAAGAGCTGGTCTGCGGAGTCCCCCAGGGATCACCAATTTCGCCATTACTATTCCTTCTGTACATGGCGGAGCCGATGCAAAGAGGCAACCCAGGATCGAGGTTTAGCTACGCCGACGATATTGGAATTCTGGGGTTTGAACGCACAGTTGCTGAATCTGCCGGCGCTGCACAAAGAGAGGTAGACCATCTTCTCGAGTGGGCAGGGAAAAATGCTGTTGCCTTCGAAACGCAAAAGTCTGAAGTCATCCAATTCCCAGGACGACGCCGAGAAGAAGCAGTTGGGGTTCACGTAAATGGAAATCTCATCGAGCCCGCTGATCACATTCGCTGGCTTGGCGTACATTTGGATCCGCGACTCAATTTCAAACACCACGTAACCACCTGGTGCGGCAAAGCGATGAAAGCTGCACAGCATATGCGCCGCTTCAACTCTACCTCTCGGGGAGCAGCCCCCGGGCCGTTAGTCGGCGCAGTAGACATGTGCATTGTCTCTCTAGCAACTTTTGGATCTGATGTCTGGTGGCCAGGATCCAAACGCCCAACCACACGAGGAATGGTCACGTCATCTACCTCAAACCTCTGCAGCATGATTGACAAAGCTAACCTGGTGGGATTGCGGGCTGCACTGCCAGTGATGAGGACAACGCCAAACGTAGCCGTTCACAGAGAAGGAGGAATCCCGCCGGCAAAGGTCATACTTGAGGGAAACCGACTCCGACTTTCGGCAAGGCTTAAGACCCTTGATGATAGACACCCGTTAAGGATCCGCGCTTCCGTGTGCCCGAATGTCGGCACTCGAAAGTACAAAAAGACCGCCAAACTCTCTGCCAGACCAGAGATCCAAATGTCACGGTTACAGCGTGCTTATCGAGAGCTCCCGAAAGCAGAGGCTCCCGAGGCCCTGGCGCCGGTAGTCTACCCTAAAAAGTTAGGCTCAAGGCTGACGGAACGCAATGACTGCGTTGGATGGATCAATAACGTGACAGGAACGGACATCTGCGCATACACAGATGGTTCATTGGAAGGACACGGACGCTCTGCCTGGGGTTTCGTTCTGAAAAAGGATGGGAAAGACATAGGCAAAGGAAGTGGCATCAAGCACGGGGGAGAGGTGCTGGATGCAGAGATAATAGGAGCAAGGAAGGCTCTAGAAGCCGCACTGGAGTTCTTGGATAACGGAAAGTCTAGGAAAGTAGGAGGGTCGCAGCAAATCCATGTGTTTCTAGACAGCCAGCAGGCTGTAAGCGCACTAACGACGGGCTCATCCTCAACTAGTCTTGAAGATGTACGCAACTTCCGTGCGTCATCCAATAGGGCCAAAATATCAGTGAAATGGATGCCAGGGCACGCAGGGATACAAGGGAACGAAGAGGCAGACACCATTGCCCGTGCCACCCTTCGAGAGCTACCTAGCCAGGATACACCACCAGGATCATGTACTCTGGCATATCTTCGTGTTCTCATGAATCACCGGCGGCAAAAATTGCTGGAAGACTGGTGGATAGAGGCTTGTCCGCCTAAATACCGCCAACTCAACCTACAGGTTCGGCGACGCAAACCACCCGAACTAGCTCTCTCTAGGCACCTGCTCCGTGAATTAATTGCAGCCCGAACGGGTCACGGCAATTTTGTGGCATACAATCGCCGTTTTAATAACCTACACGCTCCTATGGAGTGCTCTTGCGGGAAGGAAACTACTCCAACCCACTTCATCCACTGTAGCCGCCACGCACAACACACGCGTAGGCTAAGAAAGTCAATGTCCCACGTTGAATTTATCAAAAAGCTTTTCGGGCCCAAATGCCACGAAAGCTTCAAAACATTTGCGCAGGAAACCGGCTGTTTTGATAGACGACCTACTCACTCATCCACTGCTCTCAGCGGGGATCAGATTAACTAGTCATTGCCACAACACATGACACGAAAGGGAACGAGGCGAGAAGTGTCGTTTCTCTGAGGAAAGATTGTAGCTATTTGGATTTAGGGAAAAGGATTGATTTTTGATCTAGGAGTTGGAGTAGGTGGTGTCCGCGTCGTAATTTACTTCCTACTATTTCTGTAGCAAGTCCAGCGGTTGGAATGAGTTGGTCCTGTAAGCAGTGATCCCCGCCGGCTCCACCAGTCTTGTACCTGTAGTGGACCTAGAGCTTTAGCTTAGGACTTTAATATAATTAAAAAAAAAACCTTTCATCAATTCGAGAAATTCGAAGATGCATTTTTTCCCTCTTTCCTCCGTTCTCGACCTCGTCGCATCCAACTCTGAATTGTGATCGAGCTCAGGCATTCTCACCATGCCTCCAGTTCGCAAAAAGCGCCCCAACGTCAAGTTGGACAACACGAGAGTCCACCCGAGGGCTCTCCAACAATTACCTGGCCTTGCCCAGTCTCCGAAATGCGCGGAGATGAGCAACGTCTCTACCAAAGGGAAGGAAAAAGCCCTCCCCACCTTCACTGAGCCCGATACTGACATGATCGGGTCAGTTGAAACTGTTGAGGAATTTCTCCAACCATCCTCCGTCCCTCACGGGACTGGAGAATCGTCAAAATCTCCTCAGACAGCGTCAAAACCGTCGGCAAACGCTGCAGTCAAAGCAGCGCCAAAATCAACGTCGCAGCCAAAAGCTGCCACAAAAGTAGTGTGTCCCCTAGAGCTTCGACCAATTGTCGAAGCTGAACAACGACGCGCCGCCGAAATAGCGGCAAATCTGGCCCTCTGTTCCGCCGCCATCTCTGGCGTCGAAGTCACCCTCCTCCCTTTGCAGACGGGTCAAATAGACAATTTGTAGACTCGATGAAAGTCTGCTTACGCGCCGCCATTGCGCAATACATGACCACGGGCCCGACCATCACGCCACCTGTCCTCCCTCTTCGCCCTGCAAACCCGACCCCAAGGGCTCCAGAAGCCAGGAGCAATACAACTCCCGCCGTCCCAGTGATGCCTGTAAAAAGCACCTAGGCCACGGTGGCCAAAATTGGACTGCGACAAAATGCAGCTCCTATAGCAAAGGCTTTGCCGCGACCTGCGGCGAGAGCCCAAAAGAAAGAAGCTTCCAAGGCGAAAGTCGATAAGCGACTGTTCCTTCGCCTGGAAAAGGAGCACCCATGGCGGAATCTCTCAAACAACATTGTGAAAAGTAAGGTAGCGGACACGCTTAATCTCTCTTACAATGATATAACCTCGATTCATCGAGTAAAAACCGGCTTTGCTATTATAGCAAAGAACGAAAAAATACGACAAGAGATCCTAGATATCTCTCCGAAGCTGGCAAGTGAAAACGCCAAACTCGAAGCATCTTCGGATCTTGTCGCCTTACAGATACCGAACGTACCTGTAAGTATCGTTTCACAGTACGGCCCCGTAGCGACCGATGCTGCAAGTGTCACCGCTGAGATCTTCCTTACGACCAGCGCGTATCCAATCCAGGTCCGACCTCATGGGACATGTCGGCCCGGATCGCCTTATCGAAACTGGCATGCCATTTTTCACCCGGGACAACGCCCCTCGCCCGGGCTTCCGTATTCTCGATGAGGCTGGTATGACTACCATTCACAAGCCTCATCCACAAATTGAACAGTGCAAACGCTGTTTGGGCTTCCACGCCACCCGTGGCTGCTCCCGCGCTCCAGCCTGCTGGAACTGCGGATCTAACATGCACTCGGAAGCCGAGTGCATGGCCCTCACTAAGTGTCGTAACTGTGGGTGACCGGTAACCAAAGAGCAGCTCGCGTGGATCCGCCACATCGAACAAGGGGAGTTCGCGAAGGTGGCACGAGCATTTTTTGCATAATTTTTATTGTACTACTTGAGTCTCTGAAGAACAACATTACTGAACTCCTCGCTGACCCACGTCACATAAAGTCATTCTCTCATGTCCGTCAGAACAAACTTGAGGCGGCGACGGGATCCTATTTGAGGTTTGAAAGAAAGTATATGCTATGTATTAGCCAAATCTCACTTCTTTGTTCCGTCTCGAGTAGTGGGAAACGCCAAAAACCCATCGACAATGAAACTCCTCGACAGTTTCGAACTAAAACCTGTCTCTGAAGATCTTACAGTAAGAGCCAGAGGTTTATTTGTGACGTATGTAATAGATAATAGGGCTCCGTCCTTCTCCATGTATGTCGTTAGAGTTTTAGTGATGCATTTAAACGAAAAATGGTTGAATTGGAAATGAATATTGAAAACTATTATTTCACTGGAGCAGTTTTAGCTAAAACGAGTGGTTGAGTTTTAATTGGTTAAGCACTAACTCAATAAATATCCATAATTTGGGTAGGTAACAAACACGTGTACGCATATGCAATGGGTCTCTCGATAATGTGATGATTCTTGTTCCCTCTTCTTAAACACAGGCGTGTCAGCCTCAACGCAGTGGTACTTGCAAATGAAATCTGAGGCATGAGTGCTCCTCTTGTAAATTGAGTCATCTTTTTTGTACTTTTCTTTGATATTGTGTCATAGCTAGATAGCTGCATACGCAACTAAACTCTGATGCAAAAAAAAAAGTGTCAGCCTCAAGGGCGACACGCCAAGCCGCACAAATCCACGTGACTAACTAACTATCAACATATTGTGATCTCTCTCCTAACTCATGTACACCCGACAATAGTGTTCCTACACATAATGATAATCGTAATGTCGGTGAATTATTGTCTCTAGTATGAAGTTTTGGTGGTCGTCAGTAAGGTGCTGTTAAAACGTTAAAACTAACTCAGCAGCTCCTAATACGGTTGCCCATCTAGCTCACGAATGAGTCTGCCTTGTCAGCCTTTCCTGTAGTGAAACGCCCTTCAGACACTATCATTTGTCATGAGAGGCGTGCGAGTCCACCAGATCAATCCAGATTTTAAAATAATAACCATTTAAAGCAGTACTCCTATAATTTTATTATTCTCTAAGCTTACGTGACACTACTATTATCTCTGGAAATGGATTCCCTCTCAATTCTCGCCATGGCAGCAGCTCAAGTTCAACAACAAGAATTATCTCAGTCTCTTGAGTTTTCTCCAAACGGAACCTACGGATTAAATACTAACCAAATACAATTTATTATTAGGAAAGGAGAAGCTTCTGATATCCCATTCCTTAGGGATGTTGAACGCTCCGCAGGCAATCGGTACAGAACAGTTGGTCTCGACTTCGTGGCTGAAAGCAAATATGTTGATCCAGTAAGATTAGAATGTATGGCTGATGCAAATCACCTCTGGGTTGCGGTCGAAAAAAATGGGCTTATCGGCTTTATATGTGGAGAAGAAATGGACGGAAATTTTCACATAGTTGAAGTCTCCGTTTCACACGAGTACCAAGGGCAAGGAATAGGGAAAGGTTTAATGACAGCAATGTTAGAGCAAATCACACAGGAACGATCCTTTAAGTCCGTGACCTTGACTACATATAGAAGTTTGTCATGGAATGGACCTTGGTATTCTAGACTTGGGTTCGGAGAAGTTCATCCTCGTCTACTAGGGAGTGCATATAACTTAATTCTAGAGATCGAGGAAGCACGGCACGGTTTCAATCAACAAGAACGGTGCCTCATGATGAAAGATCTTTTCTATTGATGCAAGCTAAATCGAGTCTAACCCCTGGTGCATAACAACTCTCAAACAATTGAAGATTTTTCCGAACCTTCGGTGGATAAAAGCCAAGAAAGAGCCAAAGATAATATAAGACTCCCTTCTAAAAACCGTGACTATGGTCTAAGATTTATGAAGCGTTGTGAACTGGGAAAGGTCAGTCCTGGTTCAATATATTCAACAAATAATATCACGTATCAGGTCCGATGTAGTAAATGAAGCAAGCTCCAGAATCGCTTAAGATACCCCAAATTGCAGACTCGGAAGCACTTAAAACAGACACGATACCAATAAATTTTTATGATGAAAGATTTTGTTGCTGTTTCTCTGCGTTTCTGGAGCGCCAAATTTAAAATCCCACAGCCATCGAATGCAGCGTACGGTTAGGTGGAAAAAAAAGACTCCGACGAATTACATTTAATCATAGTGTTGGAAATCTTCGACTGCCGCCAAATCAGTAAGGAAAAAAAGAATTCGACCGCAGCAAAACCAGGATCCAAGTCCGAACTAAAATTGGATTATAAATCTCCTAATTAAATCTGCAGAAGCCATAATTATATCATAATATTTGTCAGTTAAGACATTAGGCAACAAAAGCAAATGAATCTATCAAAAATCGCCGGAAAAGTGGCTGTGAATTAGCAAGGTATCAATATTACTTTTCTTTAGAATTGGATCTGGTCAAGACTTTGTAAAGTATGATGCCCATCTCTCATACCACTTAAGACTTCTGGCTCTAAGGCTCTTACAATTTATTGATTTCAATTGCCCAATCTTATCCCAATTTTCCGACTTGGTCCCAATTTTAGTTTATAGAGCTCATCTTCAGAAGTGAGGAAATCCTAGCGAGTCAGCAGACTTGACCTTGCTAAACGATAATTGACTTTGCTTACTCTCAACATACAAAAAATTATATTGTGCCTCTCAAGGCAAAGGGTGTAACTATCGCCAATAATTCATAATCATCTACGCTATGGCCCCTTATCTCTGACTCCACAGGTCTTTTACTATATTGTTTACAATCTGAACACCTAAATTTCTGATAGTACTTGCCAATTTTCTCCTGTGAGCTTAAGCATTTCTCCCTATGGCTCCATATATCTACCAAAATTGTTATCAACCGCAACTGATTAATTACCAGCTATGATAACAAAGTTGCTATCCTCCATTTGAGCGTTATCATGCTGCAAGAAGAATGTACATCAATTGAGATGGTCCTAGTCGCCGACAAATACTCCGGAATTCTGCAACATAATGGCGGGGCACTGAAAAATCCTGTCATTCATAGAGACCTACGTATTCTAGCAAGTGAGATGGAGTTGAACCCCAAATACTTTAGGGGCTAATTAGGCACAAAGATTTGCATATTCAAATTTTTTTGTTTGCATCAGATTTTAATTGCGTATGCAGCTATCTAGCTATGACACAATATCAGAGAAAAGTACAGAAAAGATGACTCAATTTACAAGAGTAGCACTCATGCCTCAGATTTCATTTGCAGGTACCACTGCGAAGTTATGGTGACTTTTCTTCACCCCAAGTCAACCCTCATCCGTGAATACCCACCCAGGGGAACGTCTCAAAACCCCTGAGTTATCCAGACATGCCTCCGTCATCCATCAACTTTTCTCCGCGCGAAATGTAATCTGACATGTCTCCTTCCCAAGTGGAGTAGGTGCCCGGGCTACTCAAACTATATCGGAGAACATCACCAGGAGGCGGATCACAACACCTTCCATCGTTGGCTTGTGTTTATAATGTCAGCTGCACTCTCGCAAGCGAAGTCTCGGCGCGCACAAAGCTCAATTCGTAAAACTCTTGCCAAATTTCGAAATTTCACGCCCGTCGAGAATGTTTTTTCTGCATCATCTTGTAAACTTATCCTCATCCCTCTCACGTCCGTCCCAACGAGCTATCTCCCTGATTTAAGCTCCACGCTTTGCTTCCTCCGTCGGGTATAAATATCGGCGTGGGGGTGTATTTGGTGACCGGCTGAGGCCAGAGAAGGTCAAAGAGTAGCGTAGTCATTGGGATGAGGGTGTACTTGGTCGTACTTATAGGCTCGATGAGACTCAGTAGAAGTCAAACTCGCTGGGAGCGAAAAAACGACGTGGAGTAATTTGAATCATTGCCTCGTGGGCCAACTTCTTTGATATTGCGAAATTTGACTGAACTTGGCTCTGGGAGAATATTTCACTCCCAGGTTTGTAGAGGACACTGCGTACAGGTGTTCAGTCTTGCCCTCCTCATATTCATATTGTACTCCTTTGGTAATAACTTATCATTATACCAATAAATCGTGACAGAGAGATACTATCAAATGATCTAGTGCGATCAAATTAATATTAATTCACTCGAAGGATCTATCTATTCTAATGTAAGCAAAAGCTATTGTCTCATATCCGTCAACTCCAAACATTTTGATATGAATAATTTTGATATCAAAAGTATCCATATTCATATTATCATAGCCTAGTGTCTATACGAGTGCTGCGATATCTCTGTCACAGGGCCTATGCAAGCTTTCTTTCTTACTTTCCAAGTACTCATTACGTAGGAAAACCTCTGTTTCTAGTCTTATTGAATCGTGCAATTCTCACAACACCACAACATTTTCTAGTGATCACAAAAAATTTTCAAAACTTAATATCCATTGAGACTCATATTTTTGGGAATTATTTCAAGTATCTACTACCAGTAAAATCACATCATTCATTCGTCTTCGAAGAGTGGTTTCAGCGCTTAATTTTTGACGCAATCATATAATGAAAACTGTTAAAGATTTAATCTGTCCATAACTCTGAGCTTGATGATGGCCAGCAAGACGAAGAATATTATGACCTGTCTTTTAAGATAGAATGGCGAAAAGGGCATTAACTAGAAGATAGGACCGATATAGTAAGGGGTGATTGGCCCAGAGTAGGTATGGGCATTGTGAATGTAGTCGGAAGCACCATCATATTGAAGAGGAGTCAAGTGCGCTATATATATATACACCTGACCTATCCCTGTCACTAATTACCAAACCCCGCACTGCCATAAACACCATCAATCTCTGCCATCCATCGCAATCCCGAGTATCAATATGAGTTACTATTATACGGTATGCGTGTACGGGTCGACATCAAGATAGAAATGTTAACAACAACATTAAAGTTAATAGAACTAGGCCAAGTTTGGATAAATATGACTAAACGAAAACAATTCCATCAATACACATGTTTTACATAAAGTTGAAATTTTAAATCTATCTAGTCAATAACCGGCGAAGTTGAATTATTAAAGTGTTATTCAAAAAAATATCCCATGCAACTTCAACAAAGTGGAGTTAATGTTGTTATAAAAGTTAAGTTAGGATTTTAAAAAAATAAGGCGTTCCAAAATCTTATGTACCGTTTATTCAGTATTATTAAGGGAATAATGACCTCTCAGATATTGAGATTATAGGGCGCATTGATTCAAGTAACTACCGAAGTGGAACTAAGTACAGAATTTGTAGTCACGTATGTACTAACAACATGGCCTACTCGATAGCCCTGATTATTCTAAATTCCAACAAGTATTATAATTTTCAATAATTTTAATTTGGCGTCCGAAGGGCCCATGCAAGTGTAATGGTTGCACTTGCGAGGGCATTTCGAGAATAAATAATTATCCGTGACGGGCACAAGCCCTGCACTCAAAGAGCATGGCACAGAGAAGACTAGCTTCTCCGGCGACTATATACGACGATAACTCAGTTTGACATTTGGATTACTCATGTAGTGGGTGCATTCGCTGATACCACTCGAGACCTTAGTGCTAGGGACTTCCACCAATCCCTCAACCATCAATATCCACCAAAGGGAAAACAGGAGAAACCTTTGTCATCTTTTATATAGCCAACGCGCGATAAATGACCACTCAGTCCTATATTTCTCGAGTGAAGTAGGTGTCCAGGCTATCCAGACTTTAATTCGGTAATATGAAAACCAGAAGGCGGACCAAAACACCTTCCATCGTTGCCTGTTTTTGAAGTGTCGGTTGCACTGTCCGAGATCGTTGCCTTTGCGCGCGCAGACACCCTTAAATCAAAAACGCTTGAAGAATCTGCGTCCTAATATGTCCATTTGTGACATCTTCACTCGTTCGTCCCACGTTCCAGCTGCCTGTCTTCCCTTAAAAGATTTAAAGAAGTCAGAAGTACTTGAAATCGATTACTTAATGGGAATGAATAAGTTTTCCTTGGAAAGCTAATCTACAGTATCGTATCCTGTCCTTTATGTCCTCTGCATAGACTAGTCTTAGCTTTTTATCTTGGCTGCCTGAGAATTATCCTTTCCCCCCGGCTCATCTATTCTCCAGTACCATACTTCCCATTTGGTACGTGCCACCCTTGATACCTCCTTTATGACATTGCGAAGACTATTTGGAGAACGTTGCTTTCCGCCATCCATATTTGGTTGATGATGCTGGATGTAATCCTTCATCTTATTCCGAACAGCTTCAATCGGATTAAGATCAGGCGGGTTGGCCAGCCAGAAAATCAGTTGAATAAGCCTCTGGCTCATATCTTCCTTTGTACTTGCTGGTGCGTGAGCAGGAGCGTTATCCTGCGTTACGGAAAGCCAATGTGTTATCGAGACCATGCAATCGATAAGAGAAACTATTTTCTCGCAACATTTTTGGGAGTTAATGAATCCCCACCCCTCCTCCCAAAATAAAAAGGGGCCTTTTTCTGGCCTTGCGAAGCAACCCCAGAACATCCAGCCGACCCTCTTCGATTATTCTCCAACACAATCAGCGTTGTGCTCTTGGGAAGTCTAGCTCATAATGTTAAGCATCAATTTACTATCTTCTTTAAGAGAAATATACGAACACTTCTTGTCACCCATTCTCTGCGTGTCTTCATGGTTTTTTAAGATACTGGAGGCCTTAGGCGAGCCACAAGTCGTTGATATCCTCTTTTTTGAAGTTCTCTTTGTATTACTCGCTTGCTAACACCAAGATATCTAAAGGGGCCAGAGGCGAGTTCTAGAAATGTTTTGCAGCGGTTTGCAGGTGAAGACTCAACGTAAGATATAATCTGATCAACATCATCTGCTTTCAGTCTTGAGGATGTTATTTTTCTTTTTTTGGGTGAGATAAATCCGCGGCGTAGCGAATAACTAACTTGTCCCCGAGAAATGTCAGTTGTGCAGCAACTTGCGTCTGATTTTTTCCAGCTTCATGGAGCACTTAAATCTTAAATTTTTTTAATTTCCATTCGTTAACATTTAATTTTTCGACTTGCTACTTTGCTTTGATCACTGGATAATTGTTTGAATCGAGGTGTAGAAGGTGGGGTTTGAGGTGGATTCATCTTCAAAATAAGGTTAGTATCGAGTAAAGCCGTGTGTCTACTGAATAAACAACTTTGTATTTGACAAATCTAATTCTCATTGTCAGTCAAACACAAGATGAGAGGAGCTGTGTAGTTTTTTAGCGGTCGGCGGTCATAAAAGTGATGGCATAGACCTAGAGAACAGGTTGGAGTTGCATAAAACTGAGGGTGACATGAATCAAATTGTGCCCTTGGTCTAGGCCTTAAAATACAGGACAATAATTATATACCCTGTCGAAATTGGCGCTAATAGGGGTAAATGCCCTGAATCGAATATCCGCCCCATTTAAATCCACTGCAAACTTGAAATCGTGGCACCATGGTATTGAATTAGAATAGATTAGATTTTGTGAGCGGATGCATATTTAAATATAGTCAGCTCTAGTTATGCAGGCATCCAAGGTGATCCGTGCATACATACACATAAGAAGGGCGGTCTTTCTGGTTGAACTTAGATCGAGAACCTTAGTGATTTAGTTGTAATACAAGATTGAGCTAATAACGTTTACAGATTTTATTATAGTCCTGGCTGAGTTTATGACTATGGAGGATTTATAGGACCTACCTGAACGAAACTAGTTAATTTTGATTTTTTTAAACATGATAAATTGAATTGTTTTCTTGTAGACAGTGAGGAGAACCATGGTATTGACGAAGCTATAAAGAAGGCAAACGGTGTCCTTTTTAGGCTGCAAACACTTACAGACCCTCTGGGATATAAAAAGTAAAGCTTCAAACTGGGCTGTTTAAGGGATTAGCCCTGTAGGCGCAGTAGGGCTAGCTCGTAATAGGTTAGTATGTCTCTCCTCCATACCCCGCTCGCCATGAAGTATGGTCCAATCGTCTTCTTCTAACAATCGGTTAGAAAAACACATTTTCAAATATATTTTTGGCTGCCTAACCAATACAGTCCTTGTAACTTAACATCACTATCAATCATGCTCTATTCTAGCAAACAATACCTCTCCAAAGGGTTGGATGGTGCAGTGGTACGCCATCCGGGCCGTTCTCCCAAGTAGATACTGGGTAGCTTGAACACCTACCCCATTCGAGACAGGAGAAAGCTGGTTCGAATCCAGTCGGACCCACACACTACACTCTCTCGCGGTGATATTGTACTTGTGGGATGATGAAAGCACACTTGGATAGCCACAGGTTTTTCTCGCTTTTCCCTGTGGTGGGTATGCACGGAAGAGGTTATACGCCGTAAGGGTTAATCTCGAGTGGTATCTGCAAATGAAATCTGAGTGTGAGTGTTTTAAACGTCAAATTGAGTCATCCTACGTAAAGTACATATCTTCCGATAAAAACATGCATGGGCCTCAAGGCGCCAAATCAGGATAATGAATAATTATTATTATTATTAATACCTCTCCAAAAGCCTGCTTCAGAAACTAAAGTTCCCAAGAATTTAACTCGCGATCAATGCATTGAAACAAGAACATTAAGAAGACTTGGCTTGACATTACAACATATATCCGACGAACTTGGTCTCACAATAAGGCAAGTGCAACTTGTGTGTGCTCGAGAGACTGAGAATCCTACGCATCGCAAAAGATGCCCACCTAAATTAAGCGCGGAACATGTTGATGAGCTTGAGGTTTTCGTCCGGGAATCTGCTGAAAATCGACAGATGTGGTATTTGGAACTAGCCATGGGGCCTTTCAGCCACTGGAGATGCAGTGAACGTTTAATTTCTAATTCACTCCAAAAAAGAGGTTACTGCAGATGCATTGCTCGGAATAAGCCTCCGTTAAGCGCGGTTAACAAGCAGAAAAGATTGGAGTTCGCTCAATTACATTTATACTGGAGCTATGAACAATTGAGTCGTATACTATGGACTGATGAAACCTGTATATCAGGTGATTCTCATATGAAACCCCTTGTCACAAGAAAAGTATGTATAAATTCTATCAAAATCTTCCTTTTACTAACAGCAGAGTTTAGCCTGATGATGAATTTGATGAGACTTGTATTGTGGCTCGCCATGCTCATGGGAACAATTGGATGTTTTGGGGATCAATGAGGGCCTCATCCTTTTGTGAAAGGATTTTGCCTCTTTTGAATCAATTTCACGTGGAAGACCCAGAAATTCCATACATGCACGACAATGCACCATGTCACAAAGCGTACTCAACAATTGAGGCGCTACGTGAAGTTGGAATAACTCCCATTAGATGGCCACCTTACTCTCCGGACCCGAACCCGATCGAGACATTGTGGAACATCTTAAAAAACCACATTCAGGTAAATAGTTCTGAGAAAAATGGGGACAGGCTTGTGCGCTCTGCCGCGTTGAAAACATTGCCGTAGGCCGCATAGGACTCTATACCTTCTGAGGAGCTATTGTGCCTAGTTGGTAACATGCACGAAAGATGTGTAGCAGTAATAAAGGCAAATGGAGGGCACACAAAGTATTATCATAGAGCAGACTAATACAAAACATGTAGCACGCTTTCATTTTAGTTGCGAGCCATACTGAGGGCTTCGATGTAGACTTTTGTAATACAGAGCAATAATTTTTGAAATAGATGTTTATTTTTAGAGAATATCAATTGATTTTTTTTATTTTGAATTTTAAATGAGGACCATTGTACTTTTCCTATAGAATTGAAAACCGTCCCTATTAACTTTGACTTTCACGGAATGTCGTTGGATAGTACCCCTGATTTGATAACTAGTCGATAGACTAGACATGGGCCTGCATGAAGACTAAACCAATCTAATCGATATGTACAGGGATCTAACCCCAGTCATTTTGACAATTTTACATTTGATATCCTTTAGAGACTGTAATAAATTAGAAAAAACGGTGTCCTAGTAAATGTGCTTTTAAAAAACCCCAACGCCGCGCGGGCTCTACAAAGCGGCCGAACTAGCTCGTCCCAGTCTCAGGTCCATAAATTCGCGACTCAGGCAGGTCAGCTTTAGGGGAGACACGTCAAGCTAAACCAAGCCATGTGACTAACTATCAACACAACGTGATCTCTGTCCTGACTCATATACATTCCAAAGTAGTGTTGCGACGATATGTTTAATACTTGCCAATAGATGTTGAGGGTTATGCTCTTGTGGATCTTGGCTACGAAGGGGCCGTAAAAATTTTTTCCGACATATTTGCTTGTTCTATGCTATCCTTCATTTATATATATAGTTCTTTTTACCTGATTTGGCGCCTTGAGGCCCACGCAGGTTTTTATCGGAAGTTGTGTACTTTAAGTTGGAAGATTCAATTTGACATTTGGATCACTTACACTCAGATTTCATTTGCAGATACCACTCGAGGTTAACCCTCACGTCGTACAACCTCTTCCGTGCATACCCACCACAGGGAAAAGCGTGAACAACATGTGGCTACCCGAGTGTGCTTACATCATCCCATAAGTATAATATCACCGCGAGTGAGAGTGGTGTGTGGGCTTTACTGGACTCTAACCAGCTTTCTCCTGTCTCGAATGGGGTAGGTGTTCAAGCTACCCATTATCCACTTGGGAGGACGGCCCGGATGGTGTGCCACTGCACCATCCAACCCTATCCTTCATATTCTGAGCGTGTTTAGGCATATGGCCAGTTATCCGTGATTGCATTTTAATAAGTGTTTAGGGATGGATCATAAAGATATAGAGATTAAATGCGAAGAACTGAGGTTTGGCGTTACGGAAGCACTGATAACAGAATCACTGCTACACGCTTAGATCTCACAATTTGTGTGATTCTTAGATAACACTTCACTACTCATCTTAAGTCTGGGTTCTTGCTTGCCATAATCAATATGTCATAATACATTATTTCAAACACAGGTATTTCCACCTGGAAGGAAAGTACTTTATCGCACCAATCCATATTTTTAATTTTATACGATAAATTTTACGACCCACTAGGATAAGTTTGGACATATCCTGATAGTCCAGTTTGGGACCAAAAGATCGAGACCAGTCCCGTACTGCCCATATTTTATTCAGTTTTAACAAGTCACTATCGTCGCCTAACCCACCTCATGAAAGCCAACCTAATACTGACTGAATCTACTTTTCGAGCCTTAAACTCTACGGCATATTAAGACTCAGGTAAAAGCGCTAAGAGTTAAATTTTCAACTCCTTCTCATCTGCCGAGGAACTAAGCGATAAACTGGCTTCATCTAATCCTTGCGGGCCAATGTAAGCAGAGCCCTTGATTATCCATAGAATAGTCGCACTGAGTGTGACAAGGCCAACGATAACACTGGTATAGTTCATTGTTAACAATGTGAAAGTTTTGGTTGAAGGGAAGCAATATATTATGATAGATATTGCCATGTAAAGACAGCTCACAATATTAACCATGTAGCCGAGGGTGGGACTCATTTCGAAATTCCCAGGAACCATTTTATTTTTATTTAGGTTAGAAAAGCGGCCAGTCATAATAAACGGTAGAATAGCAGTGATGTATGACAATGTTGAGAGCACTATAAATGAGCCGACAAATGCATTGAAGGCCTGGTTCGAGACGAGGTATATTATACCCAGTATACTAGTGCTTATACCGCAGAATAATGTAGCGTTGAAAGGATTTTTGTAGCGTCTATTTTTGTGAGCAAACAACATGGTTTTTTTGAGAGGAAACTTGCGGTGATATTTTTCCTAAGCTGCTCGAATAGGGCACGGCGCCATCTCGCGCCATAGCCCACACAGACCGACCAGCGGTTATGTATATTCCAATACTAGTACAAAAACCAGGAATGATGATAAGCAATAGAAGAAAGATAGTAATCAGTCTGGAAGACGTGGCTTGTAAGTATATTACCATGACTGGCATAAATGGCGTAGATAACACGGCTTCTATGTCACTAATCGCATATAAAATAGTGATTAGATAGGCAAGACCAGTGACGAAGCCGAAGACTACCGCAGCTGCCATTGCTAAGGGAATATTACGTTTAGGGTCCGGAATTTCCTCAGCAATATGGGTTACAACATCGACTCCGCCGACCGCGAATGCTCCATTGATCATACCCATTAGAAAAACGAAAGTATTACTTTCATAGCCAGTGTTGTTAATCCAGTCCTCCCAAACAAAGGCAGACGAGGCAAAGCTGTAATATGGTCAGCGCAAAGTCCGAACCTTAGTAAGAAACCAATGCCGGATGTTTACGCACCCAGAGTCGGATTGACTTGGTGTAATAAGACAGATCAATATGGATGTCGTCACCCCGATTAAAACGGAAAATAATCCGATATTGCTTATCAAGGGCAACGCTTTGTCGGCGAATAAAACAAATCCACAAGACGACCAAGTGGCTACCAGGTACCCAACTAAAATATGCCATCTTTGCATTACATAGTCGGGATGGTATATGGAGTACAGTGTAACAGCCATCTGCCCGAAAATACTGGACACACTGGCTATGTGATCTTAGTTGTCTCCATAGAGTTTAATCAAAAATCTTACCTGTTGCGCATATCCAAGCCGATGTATTCCACCATCCAGCGAACCACCCGAAAATACGGCCATATCTAGGCCCAGGCGTAACCGAAGCCCAATGGTATATCCCGGCACTGCTGGGAATCGAAGAAGCGAGTTCCTGTGGAACGTGTCAGCGTGGTATAAGGAAGGAGGTGGGTGTGTTCAAACTGCAATCGATGCAGCTACAAAACCATAGAAAATTGAGACAGCTATAAATTCAAAGATGATACCCGGAGGTCCCCCGTTGAAAATGGCGACCACAATTGAGCTACCTAATGCCGACCAGGTGTTACCAGTAACAATTCCTACCGCACAGATAGAGAGTAACGAAAAATCTTTTTTCGAGTCTTTTGAATCAGTAGATTCTTCACTTTTGGTTGGTGTGAGCACCATGTCCTGGCTAGATAGAGAAGCCATGCAGATGTATAAGAAATGAAAGTGAAGGGAAAATGGTTGTAATTATGATGGATATGTGAAGGCAAATAAAATATAACCGTTTTGTGAGACAACACTATACTGATATGCATCATATACATCATGTGTAGAAAGTCTCCAGCTAGAGCTGAGTTTGACACAATGAGCCGTTGACGCTTGGACGACATGTATGTAGGAATCCGTATAGACCTGCGTATATCTAGACCGGTTTCACATGTTGTATCACTAGGAATAGTCCTCCTCTGGCCTGAATCCAGGGTCCGTAAACCTTTGGATTCTACTCAAAAGATACGCTATCGTCGGTGAAGACAGCTTAGATAGCTAGTCTTTGCACTAGCGTGTAGGAGTCATCCAGGATGTGGCTCATGCCGGAGATCATTGTAAGGTGCATGATGATCTTGCGAGAGGATGTTGATGAACAGCTTGACCCGAATTTGAGTGTAATCAGATGTGGATTGCGAAATTTTGCGGCGTTTCCGAACATGACGATGTGTAGTTAGAACTTATGCAAGTTTCCAATTACCGACTACGGCCGGAGCCTCCAGTTGTCCGGCTCCTGTAAATATGTCGATCGTATTACCGGAAACGCAACCTGTCACCAGGGGCTCCTTGTTGACCCCACATGGCTCCCATCTCCTGCAGCGAGACCGATGATAACCATCACATGATCATAGTGCTAGTTTGGGGATTTGAATTGATAATTTTGCGCTCTTCCTTGATCTATTGCCCCACAAGATACGTAGAATCTCTCTACCTTCAAGCCAAGCACACCCATACTTTAATCACTACAACCTCTCAAACTCAAACTCCAGGGCTCTTACCTAGTAGTAATGTCCCTGGCAGGGATATACATTCCATCGTAGTCACAGACTTGTGCAGCATGTGATCAGGGATTTAGCAACCTAACACTCGAATCCTCATTTGATCTAACACCTCAAGAAGCCTTATGCTTAGCTTGGATAATTCAGGGTCGGTTAACTCACACCAGCAGTGCAGCTCTCTGGTATCGGGCTAGCCTTTGAGGTGTTGTTTGGATAACTAAGATACCTACCCCATGTGAGAAAGATGCTCGCTGGTTTGGATCCGGTGAGATGTGATTACAATTCTTGCGGCATTTTTGTACTAGATTACGAAGGTATTTGTCGGATAATTGTGGTTGTTGGAATATCTCTTAGCTTGGTACTCACGGATGAAAGTTGATCGTTTAGTGTTGATGAATACAGCTTGTGTTGGTTTTTGCGAAAAGTGCACATTATGAATATCTCTGAAGTCTTAAAAGTATTGAACGCGCTCGAGTCACCGATTATTTGTCATGACTTGAAGGCTGGGAACTTATCAAATGATCAACAGAAACTGTAGTCGCGATGCAGAATATTTTCTAAGTTCATGATAGTATGAATTTTCCATCCGAATCTGCTAGATTTTCTCGGCACACGCACAATGACTGAGCTACTACTGCTGTCGTGATTCGAGCACTTCAGCCCGATATCTACCCGTCGCAGGGAAAACAAGGGTTATTCATCCGCTGTCTCTTACGACTGTTAAGAGTTTTCGTATGGTACTGAGCTAAGTGTATGATAAAGTTATCGATTGAGCTAAGCGGTAGCATAATCCCGTCACGATGCAGGCAAACATGTATTCATCATGCAACACCTTCCGCTGAAGCGATCAACTGTAAATACGCTCCATAACAATCTTTGAACCTCTCTAATGGCTCGATTACTAAGCCCTACTTATTCCGGACAGGATGTACCCATTGACTTTGCACCCTATGCTAGTTTACATGGCATTCGGCATAGTGTGCATAACCTTGCTAAACCTTCGCTAACCATCGTAGCTAACGTCAGGGTCCAAAATTAGTCCTCCACCGGCAGGCGCCCTTCGGCTCATGCCGAGACCAATGACGTTTTCTGTGAAGAGCTGCCATGTGCTTCCCCCAGCAGTGATACTAGGCGTTATACTGTGATCTTTACCGACAATTAGCAATATAGCTGGGCCTATATATGATACAAATTTCATCTACAAAGTTTGTACAGCTACTGGTTGCACTTTAATCATTACGGGCCATTCGAGCTGCAGTCAGAAAAACATTCTTGGTTCGGGAGAGCGCGTGTTCTAGAGGCTTGTGGTAGCGCAACTCAATTTCAAGATAATTTACTAATGGGGAATCCGATATCCTTGCATTAGTCACTGTCTGCCGAGAAAAATCCCTGGCCATGCGACGCACGAAGCAGATTCGAGCAGACGTCTAACGTGATTTCTGGAACGATCTTGTCCGGTAATCGGGTTAGATGTGTGTATCCCAGTCGGGTGGCGATTGAATCGGGTATTCGCATGACCGGGGATCTTAGTTGCAAACTTCATAATTGCAGGGGCAATGACGTCGTACGAAACAACTCTGTGAGTGAGCGTTTGGGATTACACAATTCCTCTCTATGCACTGGCCAAGTACACCTCTGCCTCGGGCAGATAATGTCTAATATCGCTGCTTCATCTCTCCCTTCCATGGCATCGCCTCTAGCAATTGTTCGCTCGGTCGGGAACCCAGAAGGCTTTAAGCCCTTCATTATCTTCCCCTTTAAACCAATAAAACGAGGGCTATAAGCCAGTATTTGGCGATCGTGAAAACCTGCAGACAGACGCAGTGTGCAGGGTACCCCCAAAACCAACATTAGGATTAAATCCGAAGACACAGCCAACTTTCTGGAGCGTTCCTTGAATCTATCCAGTTGAACGCTGCAGAGACGTGATTGTCCGAGAAAGTAACCTTCTAACTTTTTACCATCCTTTCATCTCCTCACATCATTCGAATTCCTAGAAAATTCTTTTATCCCACAGGATACCATAAAAGCCTTGAATGAGGGTGCAAGCTGTAAAAAAGCCTCGTTTAGCTTCATTGTGCCGGGTCGAGGATTGAGAGATGCCATAGAGCCGTTGACAATAGAGACTCCCCTAAACTATTGAACTCGATATCGGCTCTACAGATTGTTTGTAGATGGCCAGAGTTTCGAAAAAGACGCTGCTGGTAGGCGTTGAGTCTACACCTCTCACTCGAGACAACACGAGTTTGATGCAATGTATCTATGTCTTAGCTGTGCCAGCCGAATCCACTAAATAGGTCTAGGCTTTTAACAATTCTCAACATAGTTGTGTTAAGTTTCAGCCTTTTATTTTACGCTTCGTGTGGTGATAGTTGAAGCTGAGTATTATCTGTCTGGTTGTCCGTGTTGATGCTTGACTTATCGCACATCACCCAAGCTCATGAATCAAGGGCATGTCGCCGGATGAATTACGTGCTGGTCCGTCAAAAACCAGAATAATTTCATCATTCTCAACTGCATCATAAAATCTGTAAGAAACTTGAGACTGAGGAAATATCATCTAGTGCCAAGGCTGTTGCTCTTGCAAATTTGAAAACGACGCCCTACAGATGTGCGACTTCATCCATATCTTCTATGCATTACTAATGCAAAGCAGAAAGCAGAAACATAGGAAAAACTTAAACTCCGCCAATAATTTAAAAGAATTATCAGTACTTACGACAAGAGCAAGGCTAGAATCTGAGACTGAAATTTTGGCAGCGTCTGAGGAAAAGTTCGCACTTATTGTTAGTTATTTTGCATCGGGCTCAATGGAGATCCGTCAGACTACCAGTGAGTTTAGAATGCCTCTAGAGCACTTCAAAGCCAATGGAGATCCGTCAGACTACCAGTGTGTTTAGAATGCCTCTAGAGCACTTCAAAGCCAATGGCATACGAGGCAAATACTATCACTATCGTACAACATAGCAGTCTAATTTTAAGGCCTCTAAAGAACAACTAACCTAAGGTTACAGTAGCTTGAACTATTTTGAAGCTACCTCACCCGCTTGATGCTCAATTCCCAATAAGACCTGTTGTACAGAAAAAGTAAATGACACACCCATTACCAAAAAAGTTAAGGCGACACTTTTTCAGCTGGCTTGTAGACTTGAAAAAAAACTTGCAGGTGTTAAATCTCTAAATTTGTGGAAAATAAACTAGCAGTCTCTCTCACATATCAATCTTCCATCGAACATTGCAAATACTACTGGGTACTCCACTGCACACGAATATGTATTACAGCGAACCTTGTGGATGTTCTTAAGGCAAATAAAAGGTGGATTATTCTCAACACCTGTCAGTGGTGTCCCATACGAACCTTCAGCTCTCACTGTAGAGTCTGTAAAGCCGAGTTTGAGTTACAGTTTCGTCATCACTTCGATGAAGATTCCCAATCTCTTTCGTGGTCTGTATCATCTTCTCTCTTAACACAAACCTCTATCACCGCTATCATGAAGCTAACCGCGATCAAATCAAATGGTAGGCTTGAAGCTCTACTCATCACCCAACCTTGATCATGGAGGAAAAGCCATCCGATGAGTTTCCGGAGCATACCCAGCACTCGATACAGCAATGATGGATTGGATCAAGTCGGTCTCGAATGTCACAACGAAGGAAGATGAAGTTGAATATGCGCACTTCATATGGTCCCAGATTCTAGGCCTCGCCTGGCTGGGGCTGCAGGTTTTTTGAGACTTTTTCCCGCGCACGCAGTTTCCAGTGCTAACATTTTTTTTTGGGTAGAAGTATTGTGGTTATGGGCTTAGGTTAGTGTCACTATGCATCCTGAACTTGTACGAGTATGTAGATTGATGAGTTCAGGTTGTGGTTGAAGGTGTATCTGAGGTTCACTGTAGTTAATTATTCTGTATTAATTGTGTGCCGAGAACTCGCTACTTATACTCATGTGCGGCCGCTAGTCGGCTCCTGACCACATGAGCTTCCTCCTACAGATATCCCAAACGATACAGGAACTACACAAATAGCGTAAACATCAAATCACGTTATGTACATGCAAGTATCCTAGCTGTATAACATGTCCATCACAACAAGAAGGCTCCGTGGAAAAGGTGGCCGAATTCCACGGGTAAACACTGAGCTGAATGGCTATTCATCAAGGAG